CATAGGTGGGTTACATGAAATTCATTGGTGATGGAGTAAAGAGGCGGGAGAAAGCAAAGAGGTGGGAAACTCCTGTGATTGGATAAAAAGTAAAATGATGGACGTTCACTCAGGTGAGTGCAGGAACAATTAATATGATAAAGAAGGAATTTGAGGCATCTGTTTTTTGCCCACCACATTTGGTTGTGCCCCAGGGGCTCCGGATAAAGGGAAGTTACAAGTTACCTAGACATCTCATAAATATGTTATCTTAGAGGCAAAAAGGCAAATGGGCTCAGTAAAAAGATCGAAGTTGATCTTTGGGAAAATATCTGCCTAGAACATGACTACCCACTATAACCTGTCTGTAGTTAGATGTTTAATTTTCAAACCATCTTTTGTGGTTATTTTAGGTCTCTAAGTTTGCAAGACTGCCACGCAGGGCTCCCCTGAGCTTGTCAGGTTAGCATGTGGTTCTTTTCTTTCACAATGCCAATGCAACACAGCAACAAGAGAGAAACCAAACATTTTCAGGACTATTTCTACAAAACAAAAGTTTCTTTTGCTACTGGTGTATATCTACTCGGAGTCCTCAGATTTGGCTGTGCAAGACTTTACAGGAAACTGGCAGCTCACCAATGCTAGCATAGCCAGAAACATGGCCGAGGGAGTAGCTCCCACTACTTGCTTTTCTGTCAACTGCTGGGTCTCAGTCGTTAACTTCTTCAGCTGATCTCATGTTGGCCCCTTGTGTAGCATCATTATCTTCTTGTTCCTTGCTATCATCTCTGGCACCGAAATTGGCTGCACTGCTCCTCTGGATTCTGAGCATCAGGCTGTTTGGACTCACTTGGCTTTGGGATCAGGCAGCTAGAGAAGCATCAACATCAGTCTTGGAGTGGCATTCATTTGCCCAATGCTTTCCTCTCCTGCATCTTGGACTTAGTCCAGGCTGCTTATTTCTACTCCCCTTGGCCTTTCAACTTCCTTTTTTTTTTTGCTTTATAGTCCTTAACGAAATGCCCTAGCTTAGTTTTAAGCATCACTATCAGGACTTCCATTAAAATATATATGTATTTGATTTTTTTACAAAGAAGAAAGGAGAAGGATAGAGAGTTGGAAACATCGATGAGAGAGAATCATCTATCAGCTGCCTCCTGCACACCCCCTATTGGAGATGTGCCCACAGTCAAGGTACATGCCCTTGACTGGAATCAAACCTGGGACCCTTCTGTCCCCAGGCCAATGCTCTATCCACTGAGCCAAACTGGTTAGGGCAGAACTTCCATTTTTTGCTGTACAGTCCTTAGACAAAAAATTTACAGTCCTTTGAAAAATTTAGAATTTGACTACGCTTCTTTGAGCTCTGTTTTAGAGATCCCTTTCCTGAGATCCTGATTTTCCCATGTTTTACACCCAGCTGCTACCAAACCTTGCTCCCTACCTTACTTTTGCTTTCTGTGTGTGCTTCACTGGACCATCCTTTCACCTTACAATTGTAGTTCCTCCATATTCGGGTCTCTATTAAGGCATAACATGAGCCAGGTCCAGCATGCCCAGGGGTGAACCTGAGGCCAAGCAGTGAAGGATTAAAGAAGATAGATGAGAATACAGTTGGGGCCAGGTAGGATCACTGCCTGGATGAGAAAACAGTGACAGCCTATAAGCCAAAGCTTTACTTTATAGTCAGATCATACAAAGCAAAGCAAGGGGATTACCGGTAGTCAACATGTTTACCTAGGAGCAAGGGAGGACTAGAAGGTCAAGCTTAATTGTTAGGAGGGTTTTGCCCTTCAAGCTGGGACTTGTATGTGGCTCTGCCACAGTTCAGTCTGAGACTTGACCCTATAGCCAGTCCCTACATTTTCTTTCAGTCATTTTCACTTCTATTGTGGTGCCTCAGTTCTTCATGGATTGGGGGCAATTTTATCCCCAGATTTTAAGGATTGTTCCTCCTTGTCCTAATGTTGTGGCAAAATTCTGAAAGGCTTACATAATCCTGCAAAGGCAGGCAATTTAGTCCCTGAGAGAAATTTATAGCTACTGCTGACATTAATGTAACTCCAGGGACACATTTCTGGAGAATCCAAGATGGCTGCTCGGGTAGGCAACTAGCCGCAGCCGCACACAACAATTTCAACAAAATACAACTAAAATATAAAATGGACATTACCCAGAACTACAGGAAAGTCCACTGACTGGAAATTCTACAACAAGAAGCAAGGAGAAAACCAGAAGGAAGCGCGGAGGAGCTGTAAAAGCCCAAGGTACGGAGACACGCGGCGCGCGCATTGAGGACAGAGCCGGAGAGGAGGGAGGCCGAGTGCCTGGCTGGCGGTCCCAAGCGGGAAGGAGAGAAAAGCTCCGACTGTGCTGGGCCCAGCTCCAACTGCTCTGAACCCCAATTCTAGGCCAGACCCCGGGGACCCAGGCTCATCCATAGGGAGCCGGGCTGTAAGGCGGGACTCCAGGGAAGCGGCGAAAGGAGGTCCCGGAGGCGTGCACACTGCGCACAGAGAAGGGCCGGCCGGCTGTGCCGCGGGATTGCCCTGACGTTAAGGAGACTGGGGCTCCAGACTGCTCTGAATGCCACCTCCAATCCCACTACCAACTGAACTGAACCCCAATACCGGACTCATTGCGGGAGAGCATAGACAGTTTGGCAGCAGGCGAAAATCGAGGGCACCTTTCTCTCAGAGGCACTCCCAACAAGTACTGAAGGACCCTGAGTCTCAGGAGTCGCATAGGGCGGGACTGACGGAAGCCAAGGCTGTAGGCTCCACCCTGAAACCCCGCCCCATCAGGAAAGCTGCCTACGAAAATGCCTAAACCAAATAGATCACAAACGAAAGAAATGGAGGACAAAAAGCGACTGGATATAGAGTTCAAAACCACACTTATAAGGTTGTTCAAGAATCTCCTAGAAAAGGCCGATAAAATAAACAAGACGTATGAGGATATGAAAAGGGATCAACTAGAAATAATAAGGGATCAACAAGAAATAAAGAATACATTGTCTGAAATAAAAAATATTTTATGGAGTCCTAAAAACAGAATGGAAGATCGCAAGAATCAAGTCAAAGATTTGGAACATAAAGAGCCAGAAGACACTCCTCCGCAGACGCAAGAAGGCCAGAGAATCCAGAAATTGAAGATAATGTAAGAAACCTCTGGGACAACTTCAAGCGAACCAACATCAGAAATATGGGGGTCCCAGAAGATGAGAGAGAGCAAGATATCGAAAACATACTGAAAGAAATAGTGACAGAAAACTTTCCCCACCTGGTGAAAGAATTAGACTTACAAGTCCAGGAAGCGCACAGAACTCCAAACAAAAGGAATCCAAAGAGGACCACACCAAGACAAATCATAATTAAGATTCCAAGAGCAAAAGACAAAGAGAGAATATTAAAAGAAGCAAGAGCAAAGAAGGTAGTTACCTATAAAGGAGCACCTATAGGATTGTCAGCTGATTTCTCAACAGAAATCATGCAGGCCAGACGGGAATGGCAAGAAATATTCAAGGTGATGAATAGCAAGAACCTACAGCCAAAGATAATCTATCCAGCAAAGCTATCACTCAGATTCGAAGGTCAGATAAAGAGCTTCACTAATTAAAAAAAGCTAAAGGAGTTCATCACCACCAAACCAGAATTATATGAATTGCTGAAGGGGGTTCTTTCAGAAGAGAAAGTAAATAAAGATAAAAATTATGAACAACAAATACGTAACTATCAACAAGTGAATCTAAAAACCAAGGAAACTAAAAAAAAAATCTGAGGAACAATATTAACTGTTGAATATAATAGAATCAGAGGTATGGAAGGGGAGTGAACTGTTTATTCTTGGGGAAAAGGGGAGAGGGGGATGTGGGAAGAGACTGAACATAAACTGTGCACCTATGGATGAGGACAATGGGGGGTGGGGAAAGGGCAGAGGGTGGGGTGAGAAGGGGGGGAAAGGAACATTTGTAATAATATGAACAATAAAAAATTATTTAAAAAAAAAAAAAAGAAGTGAACTCAGGCTGGGTCTGGCATATTTCAGACCCTGCTCCCTATTAGATAGGACTAGCCTAGTATTACCACCTCCCACTATAGTTGACAAGATTCATTGAGTTAATAATAAAGTGTATAGTCCAGTGCTGGACATGTAGTAAAAAAAAAAAAAAAAAAAAAAAAAAAAAAAAAAAGTAACTCCATGTGCAAGGGTGCTCCCAGCTTTTTCTTTCTTTCTTTTTTTAAAAATATACTTTTATTGATTTCAGAGAGGAAGAGAGAGGGTGAGAAAGAAACTTCCATGTTGGGAGGGAATCATTGATTGCCTGCCTTCTGCGCACCCCCTACTGGGGAAGGAACCTGCAACCCAGCATGTATCCTTGCCCAGAATCCAACCAGGGATCCGTCAGTCCGCAGGGCGAGGCACTATCCACTGAGTCTAACTAGCTAGCTGCTAGGGCTTTCCTGCTTTCTGATTCCACATTTCACTCAGGGCACAGGAAACGCTCTTCCCATCTTCTGGGTGCACATCCACACAGGTTCACTGCCATCAGGGATGCTGTGGATCTTGGCCATGCCAGCTGGCCCCAGCCTTTTATCATTTGCGTATTTCCGAAGTCAACATCGGAATCCGAAAATGAAAACGGGGTTTGGCAGCGTTCCTGCACCAGCTCCAACCCTCTGTCGCAGAACCCAAAACATGAAGCACGGACCACAGGAGTCCCAGGGCCCCGGCTCAATGGGGACACCGGGAAGGGGGCCGACGGACTTGGGGGAGCTGGGGGGGGGGGGGGGGGGGGGGACGGGGACGGCGGAGGGCGGATGCTGAAAGGCGGAAGAGGGGCGGGCGCTGAAGGGCGGAAGAGGGGCACGTAGGGGCGGAAGAGGGGCGGGTGAAGGCGGAAGAGGGGCACGTAGGAGCGGAAGCGGGGGCGTGTGAAAGCGGAAAAGGGGTGCGCGGGGGGGGCGGGAGGGGAAGTGAGCGCCGGGCGGCTTCCCAGACTTTGGCCGTTGTGGCTGCATTCTCGGTGTCGGCTAGGAGAGAGCCCTAGCCTGTCGCTGTGTGTAATGGACCTGAGCGTTTCTCCACCCGAATTGCATGCCGGGCCTCGCCGGGCCCCGGCGGCGCGGTGGCCGCGGAACCGCCGCGCAGTCCACCGCCCTCTGCTGGGCGGGCGGACGCAGTGCCCAGCGCCGCCGCCGGACTCGGCCAGGTGAGAGCCGGAGGGGAAAACTCTGGAGAACGTGGGGGGAATAGCCGAATCGGGAGGCGTTGTTTTCAACGCACCGGTTTAAATTAGGAATACTTTCCAGGCCCTGTGCTGAGCGGTGTTATGAAAATAATGCAAGAACATCTGGCTGATGCAAACAGATGCTTTTCTTTTTCAGTCTGCCATGCAGCGTAGTCTCTCCGGGGATCGCACGGTGGGGTGCAGGGCCCAAAGCCTTTATAGGACAAAGACTAAAGGAAAAGTGAGAGAGAGAGAAAATGTGGGATTGCCTGGGGCCGCATAGGCAACGCCGTGTAGGTCGAGAAGGCCCAGAGTTGGCTTGGCGATGGGGATTTGGCCGAAGGGAACGTCCCGATGGCAGGGATTTGTTTTTCTTTGCTGATGTGCAATCCTGGCCAGGTAAGGGGCCCAAGGTCCTGGACACTTGCCCTTGCCACCACCTAGCTATTAAATTACTCCAATAGCTTGCTTAATTAAAACACCATAACTTGCTTCGCGCAGCCAAGTTTGCAGCCATAAGGACGACAACAGCGGTTCAACTTATGCTTGGAATGTGCTGAAGATTTTTTTTGAGCTGCAATAATCCTTTTATTGCTACACAAATGTAGGAGATCAAAACCACAGGTTACTTAAATCACTTACCTGTTGAACAGACTGATCAGGACTTTGAGAGAAAGTCTGCGTGGACCCGCCTTTTGCCTCACTTACTCATCTGAGAGCCTAGAGTTTACCAGCCAAGGCTCTAGGTGCTGGAGGGATAGAGATGAAATTGTGACATTTCCTGGAGGAGGAAGGAACGTAGTCACCTGACCTTTTATTGACGTTTTTCTTGTCTGACTTGAAAGCTGAGTGCATACAGTCAGTGGAGCACAGGCAGTGACCATCGTTCCCATAGGAGAAACCAGCTTGCAAAGAGGAATGGAGTCCCAACAGGGTGAGTGGTGGAAATAATAAACAGGGTAGATGGAGAGTTGGTTTGTGGGCAGATTTTTTGTTGTGTTGTTGTGTTTTTTTTTGTTAATCCTCATGTGAGGATATTTTGCCATTGATTTTTTAGAGAAGGTTGAAGGGATGGGGAGAGACAGAGAAATATCGAAGTGAGAGAGATACAACAATTGGTTGCCTCCTGCAGGGGGATCGAGCCTGTAACCGAGGTATATGCCTTTGAGGGGAATCGGGTCTAGGACCCTTTAGGCTGGCGCACTACCCACTGAGCCAAACCGGCTAGGGCTTTTGTGGACAGATTTTTAAGCCTCCTATGGCCTTATGGATTTTTTTTTTTAATATATTTTATTGATTTTTTTTTTTACAGAGAGGAGGAGAGAGGGATAGAGAGCTAGAAACGTCAATGAGAGAGAAACATCGACCAGCTGGCTCTTGCACACCCCCTACCGGGGATGTGCCCGCAACCAATGTACATACCCTTGACCGGAATTGAACCTGGGATCATTCAGTCCTAAGACCGATGCTCTACCACTGAGCCAAACCAGCTTCGGCACCTTATGGATTCTTAAGCCTTGTATGCCGAAGTATTATTGACAGATACCATTTTGTCAAGCAGTGTTCTAAACATGCAAATGACTTCCTAGCGGGAAGATTTGGTTTATTATGGGAAAGTGAGTGTTCATAAAGAAGATAAATGCAAACAGACATTTAGAGTATTTGATGTAGTCTAGAGTGCTAAAGGAAGTGATCTGAAGTTACTCTGAGGAAGAGAAAAGTGTAACAGGTAAGGAATCACATAGACAGAGGCTTGGAATGAAGAGACAAAGGATTTGAGAAATTGAAATTAATTTTGGCTGTAGGAAGGAGGGTGTGTGTGGCATGTAGTGAAACTTGCATGGTACATTATATAACGACAGCCTAACTCCAAATCCAAGCTTGAAAAGCAGTCAAAATAGCTACAATTTTCAGTGTAGCTAGAGATCATGGCTGTTGGAGGTCATGCAAGGATGCCTCCCAATGGAATGCCATTAAACTCAGAGTGACTTTTTAAAAAAAAATTAAATGAAGTAACTACACTGACTATAGCAATTGTGCTTGATGACTTAAGTTTATGACATTGCTCATATATTGGCTGTCTGAAACAGAATATTTCTGATTTTGTTGTTGTTGTTTACTAACTACCTTAGGCTAATTGTTTTCTTATTGAGTATGCATTTGTGTTAATTTTTTGGCTTATTACATTTCAGAACGTGTGAATGGGTTTTAAGAGAACAGCTAGCTTATTCCCTGTGCAGAGAGGAAAACTCTTGATCACGTTTGCAGCACTGTCACAAAGGGAGAAAGTGACGCCTTTGATCTCAGCTGCTTGTGGGCCTCCCTTCTCCTCCCCTTTCCCTGTGGTGTGGTTGTAAGCTCCTTCGGCTGAACTGAATCTGCTTGAGGCCAGAAAGCAAAGCATTCTGCATGACAAGCGTTAACTTTCGCTTTGCCCTGAAGAAAGTGTATCAAGTGGCAAATGCCTCAGAACCTGTTCATAGTCTTATGATTCTAGAACTAGCCCAAAATGCTGATTGCTTAACTACATGTTTACACAAAACTTGAATCTCAACCTTGTTTCTTCCTTTACTTGTACTTTCAGGTACTATGGTAGCTCAATAGTAGCTTACACCTTATCATCTCCTTAGCACTGAAGTGTTTGTCCTGAAGTTAGAATTGTGATGAAATTGTACATATTGGCTATTATCAGATTTCTAGAATTGGATTTCCAAACAGGGGTCAGCAGCCCTAGTAGGCAGGTCTCTTGAGTTTCCTTGGTACTATTTTGTGGCACAGACAAGGGAATATGAGGAGAGAAAAGAAGGGAGAATTAGTGGAAGAGGGCAGGAAAAGGGGGGAAGGGGAAGAGGAGAAAACATGTGGAATTAATAGAGAGAAGGCTATAGGAAGTATTTATGTTTCCTTGGGAAAATCATATCAAAGATGTCAAATGAGGTATAATATCTATATAAGGGTAATATGCTAATTAGACTGGGAGACCTTAGACCTTCCAGCCGTTCTTCTGTATAAAGCCATGGTAGAGGCCGTTAGAGACCAAGAGGGGAGGGTAGATGTGGGTGATCAGGCCGGTGTGGGGGGAGGGCTGTTGGGGGTGATCAGGCTGGCGGGAGGGGGGGACGACAGTTGTGGGCGAGCAGGCCATCAGTGGGAGTCAGTTGGGGGTGATCAGGACAGCAGGGGGCAGTTAAGGGTGATCAGGTTGATGGGGGGGGCATTTTGGGGCGAGCAGACCAGCGGTGGGGGGCAGTTGGGGGCAAACAGAGTGGTTAGGGCAATCAGGCAGGCAGGCAGGTGAGCAGTTAGGAGCCAGCAGTCCCGGATTGTGAGAGGGATGTCCAACTGCCTGTTTAGGCCTGATCCCTGTAAACCGGCAGTAGGACATCCTTCAAGGGGTCCCAAATGGGAGAGGGTGCAGGCTGGACTGAAGGACAACCCCCACACCCCCTCCCTCCCTCTGACCCCCCCCTGCTCCCCCCCCCCCCCCCCCGCGCACAAATTTCATGCACTGGGGCACTAATTAGTTATATAAATATTTTAAATTGTAATGATTTAAGTATAAGGAGAAATAGATCTGATGGCATCTATACCAATTGTCTTTATGTTATTGGGTTGGAAGGAGGGGTACTTACGTGACTCTTATCTTTACTTGGGTGACATAATTTGTGAACTCTTTATAGAAAATGGAAACAAAGACAAATGGACTCATGACAATGAGAGAAGATATAGTGTTTATTGATTCCATTATCCCACAATAATAATTTAAAATGATATTGATTTTATGAATCATACTTTATTATTTTCTTATTTAATTTTTGTTATTTTTCCCAAACAGAATATAGGCACCTTTAAAAAAAAAAAATAGCCATCCAAGTCCTTATCAGGTTTCGTTGACACATTTCTTTTACACTGAAGTATTGTGGAGAAGATCAAGCCTTCTGCTCCAATTTAGTTTTCTGATGAGTTGTCTTCTTATATCTGACATATTCCCAGGGGCAAAACAAGCATAAAGCATACTCCTGGTAAAAGCAAGCTTGGACATATTGGAGAGAGAAGGAGAAAGGGAGAGAGAATCTTTTGACTCTAAGTACACATCATAGCAGTAATGGATGCCACAAACATAGTTGAAATCAGACACAAAATAAAATACCATATTTTTTAATTTATATAAAGTTCAAAGCAGGCCAGTAATCTTGGATATTAGAAGTCAAGGTAGTTGTTTTCCTTGTTTGGAGTGGTGATTGAAAAGTGGCATAACAAACCTGAGATTCATGTTATCTACTGAGTGCTGTTATTGGCTTAAATGTATTCATTCAGTGCTGTTGTTTACTTACTAGAGGCCCGGTGCATGAGTTTGTGCATGGGTGGGCTCCCTCTGGGTGGCCTGCAGAGATCAGGCCAAAACCTGCAGTCCAATGCCGCCTGCTGCTCTGCTCAACCCGGCCCCACTGTGCCTGATGCAGGCTGGCGCCTAATCAGTCCCGATTGGGATAGGCTTGAGCCCTGCATCTGGTGTCCTCCGAAGGGGAGTGGCCTTTGGGATCGGGCTGAAACCAGCTCTCCGAAATCCCATGAGGGGTCCTGGAATCCAAGAGGGTGCAGTCCAGGCTGAAGAACCCCACCCGTGCGCAATTGGCCGGAGAGGGACCACAGGAGGGCTTCAGGGCATGTCCACCCATCTCGTTCAGTCCCCATTGGCCCGACCCCAGCAGCAAATTAATCTACTGGTTGGAGCATCTGCCCCCTGTTGGTCAGTGCACGTCATAGCAAGCAGTTGAGCAGCCTTAGCATGTTATTAGCATATTATGCTTCGATTGGTTGTTCAGTTGTTCTGCCGTTTGGTCTGTTTGCATATTACCTAGAGGCCTGGTGCATGGATTCATGCACCAGTGGGGTTCCTCAGCCTGGCCTGTGCCCTCTCATAATCCCGGACCACTCAGGGGATGTCAGACTGCTGGTTTTGGCTTGATCCCGGCAGGCCAGCTGACTGCCCCCTCGGGATGTACTAGTGCCCTAAGCGGCAGGCGGCCATGGCCGGGAGGAGCCTGAATCCAGGCCTGATGCTGCGCTGCTCCTGCTCATCCTGGCCCTATGCGCCTGCCACTGCCAACACTTGGTAGTGAGTTCAGTATTTGGTGCCCATTGGTCAGCTGAGCAGTGCTCCCACTGTGGGAGTGCACTGACCACCAGGGGGCAGCTCCCATGTTGAGCATCTTCTCTCTGGTGGTCAATGCACATCATAGCAACCAGTCATTAGGTTTTTATATATATAGACTAGAGGTCTGGTGGGGGGTGTCCCTCAGCCCAGTCTGCACCCTCCAATCTGGGATCCCTCTCACAATCCAGGACTGCTGGCTCCCAACTGCTCGCCTGCCTGCCTTCCTGATTGCCCTTAACTGCTTGTGCCTGCCAGCCTGATCACCCCCTAACTACTCCCCTGACAGCCTGTTTGCCCCTAACTGCCCTCCCCTGCAGGCCTGGGTCCCCCCAACTGCCCTTCCCTGCAGGCCCGGACACCCACAACTTTCTTCCTCTGCCGGCCTGGTCACTCCTAAAACTGCCCTCCCCTGCAGGCTTGATTGCCCACAACTGCCCTCTCTTGCAGGCCTGTTCCTTCCCAACTGCTCTCCCCTGATGGATGATCACCCACAGCTGCCCTCCCTTGCAGGCCATCTTGGTGGCCATCCTGTGCCCACATGGGGCAGGATCTTTGATCACATGGGGGCAGCCATCTTGTGTGTTGGAGTAATGGTCAATCTTCATATTACTCTTTTATTAGATAGGATAGAGGCCTGGTGCATGGGGGGGGGGGGCAGTTGATTTGCCCTGAAGGGTATACCAAATCAAGGTGGGAGCTCCCTTGGGGTGTGGGGCCTATTGTGGTTTGCAGGCCGGCCACACCCCCCTGCAACCCGAGCAGAGGCCTGGTATCTGGGATTTATTTGTCTTCTATAATTGAAACTTTGTAGCCTGGAGCCTAGCCAAGTCTTCTGCTCACTCTGTGGTGGCAGCCATTTCTGTTGGGATTTATTTACCTTCTATAATTGAAACTTTGTAGCGTGGAGTGGAGGCCCAGGCTGGCAAGGGCAGGCGGAAAGCTTGGCTTCCTCCATCACTTGGGGAAACCCTAGCCTCCTGCTCTCTCCAGCTCCGTGGCTGCTGCCATTTTTGTTGGGATTTATTTATCTTATATCATTGAAACTTTATAACATTGAGTGGAGGCCTAGGCCAGCAAGGGCAGGCGGAAAGCTTGGCTTCCTCCATTGCCAGGGAAACCCAAGCCTCCCTCCTGCTCTCTATGGCTGCAGCTATCTTGGTTGGTTTTATTTGCATATTTGCTCCTGATTGGTGGGCGTGGCTTGTGGGTATAGCAGAGATATGGTCAATTTGCATATTACTATTTTATTAGATAGGATATGCAGCTCATTGAGCTGTGTACTTTCCTGAATGTACTAATATGTTTTATGTCAACACCAGTGCTTACATAAGAAAAGCCTGTAGTCAGAGTTGAGATTACCCAGAAGAGAGGAGTGACAGAATCCTGGGGAATACAGAAACCACAGACACATACATTCCTATTTCTTTTCCTCAGGATCCTTCCAACTTTTTCTGTGAGAACATTATATAAAGAAAGGATAATGCTAAGAATAAAATTTCTGTTAGAGAACAGGATTGTTCTTAAAACATTTTTGCATTAAGACTATTTCTAAGTGGACATTTGGATTGAATTTCTTAAGTTTTGGAAAAGTTAGAGTTGGAAAAGAATAATTGTGATGAGAAAAACTACCTGGCGTCAGGAGATGATGCTAAATACGGAACAGCAACATTCTCCTAAACTTTCCTAGTGTATTAGATCGTAATGAATGTACTGTAATTGTGCCATTATTTCAGTGATGTACCGAAATAATATACTGTGTGATCTATGTGGTTTAAGAAAGGGGGAAAAGGAAAGGAATTCCATACTGACCATCTTTCTTCAAAAAGTGCCTTTAGAAGTGGGAAAGTCCTTCCAATTAAACAGAAAGGTCTATTAACAAAAAAATAGCACAACAGTGTCTGTTCATCTGCACTATTGTATGCTTACCGGTATGTCTCTTTTCCAGAAATGGCAGCAAGTCTTTTGAAGACATCCTCTATGTCTCTAAGGACAAAATTGCTACATCAGACGGGATTGTCACTTTATAATACATCTCATGGCTTCCACGAGGAGGAAGTAAAAAAAAAACTTCAGCAGTTTCCTGGTGGATCCATTGACCTTCAGAAGGAAGACAATGGCATTGGCATTCTTACTCTGAACAATCCCAGTAAAAGGAATGCCTTCTCGGGTATGGAGAGCTTTCTTTGCTTGTTAAAAAGTGACACTAATTCTAACCTGCTATTACATGACTCTTTTCCTTACTTTTATGACATAATTCGTGAAAGTCATGGTACCTTTGGAGAACATGGAAACAAAACTTATCATGTGAACCATGAACATTTTTACAAATGGTGGTAGTTTTAATGTTTTTCTTTTTCTTTTTCTTTTAAAAAGTATATTTTATTGATTTTTTACAGAGAGGAAGAAAGAGGGATAGAGAGTTAGAAACATCGATGAGAGAGAGACATCGATCAGCTGCCTCTTGCACATCCCCTATTGGGGATGTGCCCGCAACCAAGGTACATGCCCTTGACCGGAATCAAACCTGGGACCTTTCAGTCTGCAGGCCGACGCTCTATCCACTGAGCCAAACCGGTTTCGGCGATGTTTTTCTTTTTTAAAAAATCTGGGAATACAGATGCTGATGAGAAGGAAAATTTCTAATTAATCTTTATTATTTTTTCCATTGAAATTTATTAATTGCTTAATAACTTCATTTATTTGTGTTCAGATAATGTTACTGGGAGACAAAATTAAGGTGGTTTCAAAGATTTTTAAAAACTAAAGAGAAAAACCAATAAATGGAAAAAGAAATTACTATTTAGCTTACATTTTCCTTTTTGTGAATTGAAATAAGACAGATTTTAACCATGTAATTTCAATAATCAATGAAAACACTGTACTTACCTATCTATTTGTTTCTCATTTCCTAACTCAGGAACTGGTAAATACCTTCTATTTGTTAGGTAGCACTCTTGGAATATAATAATTTTATATCTAAGAGACCTGAAGGTCTAGGATACATGTTAATTTGTGATTTTTGTCCAAAGCTCAAATTCGAATTGTGCTACCATAATACCAGGGACTATTATGTATACCTAAGCTTTTAAACCAGGGATTGTTATGTACACCTCTTTTGTATGTACGTCATAGTACCAACACATAAGGTATTTGACGTTCAGTAAATATTTGTATAGTATATGACATAAGAATCTTGTTTGATGATGCCTTATGGCTTCTAAATTATTTGTTTCTCTAGTATCTTAGCTGTTTATGATTCCCCCTCCTCTCTCTGTCAGGTGTTATGATGCTACAACTTTTAGAAAGAGTGATTGAATTGGAAAATTGGACCGAGGGGAAAGGTCTCATCGTACGTGGGGCAAAAAATACATTCTCCTCAGGATCTGATCTGAATGCTGTGAAAGCACTAGGGACTCCAGAGGCAAGTATATATGAATTACATACTGGGATTTACATGTTTACCAGATAGCTATGGTGAAGCTATTTATATTTTACTTATATGGTTATGATGACAGCTACTCTCTTTTTTTTTTTTTTTAATATATTTTATTGATTTTTCACAGAGAGGAAGAGAGAGGGATAGAGAGTTAGAAACATTGATGAGAGAGAATCATCGATCAGCTGCCTCTTGCACACCCCCTACTGGGGATGTGCCTGTAACCAAGATACATGCCCTCAACCGGAATCGAACCTGGGACCTTTCAGTCTGCAGGCCGACGCTCTGTCCACTGAGCCAAACCGGTCCCAGCGACAGCTACTCTTTAATAGCTTTCCAAGGTTCAGAGTTTTTGTTTTACTTCTTAAAGATTAGGTTGCAATAGTGTGAAGTATTGGCGCGGGGGTGGGAGAAGAAGAACGGGGAGATTAGCAGTAACCAAAGTACATTATTGAATACAGCAATCATTTGAATTTTAAGTGGAAGCCCCTTAGCATCTACTGATAAGGAATTTTATATGAGGTATACTGTAAAGAATCTAACGTAGCTTTAGCAAGCTTCAACAAATGATAACTATTTAGTTTTGCTTTGAATTATTATCCCAATAAAAAAAGAATCCTAATCATCCATTACCAGTCCTCCATTTTTCTTGAATTCAGGCTTCCATACATCCCCTAGACCCCAAACAATAACAACAACAATAAAAACACAAATAAAAACAAAACATGAGAAATGAAAAAGGAAAAAAAAAAATTGTTGCCATTAAATTGTAAATGTGGGCTGTATGTTTTTAGAGGAGCAGAGTTTGGGGATAATAGATGGGGTATCCTATGCCTCTTCCCTCCATATTCCCTCTAGTAGAACCCGATACAGATCTAACTCACCTCTAAGTCTTTGCTAATGCCTCATTCAGAGCCGAGCCCAAGGAGTACTAGAACATCAATAAAATCCAAAACTGCATCATTTTCATTTCAGACAGTATCAAAGAGTTTTAAATGAAAAACTCATTAAAAAAAAAAGTTAGATGTATTATTGGCTTTATTTCTTTCTAAACCCTGAAAATGGTGGGTTTTTTTTTGTTTTGTTTGTCTTTTTAAATTCTTATACATTTGCATTATAATTTTGTGTCTTTGGTTATTTTTATTTTTTAAAGGATGGAGTGGCCTTATGTATGTTCATGCAAAACACCTTAACAAGATTGATGAGGTAATGTATTTTTCTTTTTAGAATATGGTTTCTAAAAAAAAAAAAAAAAAAAAAAAAAAAAAAGGTTTTTATTATTCTGAGTTGCACCAATAAAAAATAGCTGATTTTCAAATTATATTTTTTCTAATAGTGAACTATTTGTGCCACCGAGGATAGTCATTTAATTAAATGTTATTAAAATATACCCAAGTATTTAAAAATAAGAGACATGAAAGATAAAAAGAATTTAAAATATAGTACTTTTCCATAAAGAGATTATTATTAGCTGCATATATTTAGGTATAGACACGGGAAAGGTAAAATACTGTTATCAGAGCAGAATAAAGAAACGCTCAGAAGAGGACCCAAAGATTAACTAATCAGAATCAGTAGAATGTATAGTGAAGCCCATATCCTGAGGAGAGAAGAACTGCTGATTGGAGAAAAAGAACTACAGGTTGATGAGGAAGATGGCTTCACTTTGCATTTGGGATTATAAACAATGACATGTTTGAGCTGAGATGAGCTTTCTACTTCTATATTCCAACTGGAAACAACTTAAAACCTATAAAAACTAAGGAAATTCCTATTTACTTAGCATATTAATGAGTTGGACAGCACTGTATTTGTTGTTCTTTCTGAGAGTCTTAAGAAGAACAATGGAATCATAACATTATATTCTAAAACACTTTTTTCATTGTATTGGCTCCTGTTCACCCCTTTCTCTCTATTATATTTGGCTTTTTTTCCTTAAAGTTTAAAAAATTATTATTTTATTGTTTTCAGAGTTGAAAGGAGGAAGGAGAGGTTGAAACATCACTGATTGATGCTTCAACCGAGAATCACTGATTGGCTGCCTCCTGCACGGCCACTACTGGGGATCGAGTCCCCATGTGCCCTTGATCAGAATTGAACCTGGGACCCTACGCGTCTGCAGACCAATGCTCTATCCACTGAGCCAAACTGGCTAGGGTTTCAATAATTATTTTTAATTGAGAGAAGAGTATTAAGAAATTTTTAGTTACTGTACTTTATAGCTATGCATTTAAATTAGAACTTACAAAAAATCTATACTTTCAAAACATTTTGGATTAATCTTTTATGCTGATACAGTCTTGCACTGCAAAATGGGTCTTTGCAAGAATTATCTCTGGATAATCTCCGTGAGTAGTGAAAAGACAGGAACCTTTATGACAATATAGTTTTGGAGCTCATCCTCTGTACCGAATTTCCTTCCTTTGGATACAGTTTTAACTTTTCCATTTATAACCTGATACCAATAAAAATGTTATAAGGCAATATCACATTGAGTTATTCCTGATTGCCAGTAAGTAGTTGAGAAGTGCCCGGAGCTGTATATTACCCCAAAATATCCTTTAGAATATGGCTATGGTTTTAAACTAAACAATGATTCAGAGAGGTATTTTGATAAACATATATGGCATTTTGTATGAATTGTATAAATATCTTCAGTATTATACTGATTTGCTCCTCATGATGCACGGGCTATCCTTTGAGATTTGTTTCTTATTTATTATAAACATAGTTTAATAATTTTGTTTCTATTGCATCTCAAATTTTTAATAATGTTTGTCGATCAGTATTGAAATTTAAAATGTTAATATACATTTTTTCCTTCAATATACAGACTTCCTTTAATAAGTGTTGCCCTGGTTCAAGGCTGGGCCTTGGGCGGAGGAGCAGAGTTTGTCACGGCATGTGATTTCAGGTAGGATGAAGATTGCATTCCTGCCTGCACAGATACAATTAACATAGGCTCAAATTTGTTTTTTGCCTGAATATAAATACTTACGTACTCTTAAATAGGAAAATCAATTATTATTTATTTTTGTTAACCATTAAAGTAGATGTTAGCCAGTTGAACTGTATATTACCATGCATTCAAAAACTTAACGAAACAAGTTGATTTTAAATAAATCAAATCCATTTCAGCAAAATCCCTGAGAAGGAAAGCCAAAGAAATTTATGAAACTTTAAGATTAAAAAGAATACAAAGAAAATAACTAAAAAAAAAATACAAAACAAAAGTAATGGAGAGAGACTGCTGTAGTCATCCTCTTAATAAAAGTAAGTTTCGGTACTTTAAAGCTACAGCTGTACACTTATCTTTACTGTGATTTATACAGTAACTGGGTTGATTAGGGAATCAAGTTATTTGGGACTAATAACTCTTCAACCCCTAGAATTTTTTTTTTAAAGACTTAGAGTGCTTCCCTCCCCCCCCCCAAAATATATTTTATTGACTTTTTATAGAGAAGAAGAGAGAGGGATAGAGAGTCAGAAACATTGATGAGAGAGAATTATTGATCAGCTGCCTCCTGCACACCCCCTACTGGGGATGTGCCCACAACCAAGGTATATACCCTTGACCGGAATCGAACCCGGGACCCTTCAGTCCACAGGCTGATGTTCTATCCACTGAGGCAAACCGATTTCGGCTGCATTGAACATTTTAGAAAGCTAACTTGTAGTCTTTTTTTTGGTCATGAGTATTGAAACGATACTTTAAAAAAATTAAAATTCAGACATGACCTTCGGTCCAAATTAAGGTTTTAACATAGTGAAATCTTCTTATGGAAGCCTCCATATAAAACTCATAGGCACCATTCCCTAAAAGTCTATTAATAGTGCAGATATTTAACTGGCAAATATGAAGCCTTTTGCTATGCTCACTAATTTGTGTTAACTCCCCTTATGGTTTCAACTTTGCTTATTAACCACCCTATCCATAAAAATCCCAAGATTTGGAGAGAATGAATTCCTGCTACAGGAAGTCATTGCTCTCAGTCTCACCTGAGCTGCTGTCAACTTTCTTAATGGTATCCCTGCTTCCATTCCTGTCTAACTGTTGTGTGTGAGGTTCAGAGCACACATGAAGTTAAACTACCTGGGTTTTAATTCTGGCTCTGTTCTAGCTGCATGGGAGACCTCAGTGAGGTATTTATTTAGTTACCTCAGTTTCCCTGTGTAAGATGAGCTTATTTCTATACCTCATATGATTGTTCTGAGGATTATTGACATGAAATTCCATAGACAGCCCAGCTGGTGTGGCTCAATGGTTGTGTCAACCCATGAACTAGGTCACAGTTCAGTTCTCAGTCAGGGCACATTTCTGGGTTGTAGGCTCGACTCCCAGTAGGGGGGCAGACAAGGGGCAGCTAACCAATGATTCTCTCTCATCACTGACGTTTCTATCTCCCTCTCCTTCTCTGAAATCAATAAATATTTTTTAAAAAAAGTTCCAGAGATATATTGTGCTATTGAATGCCAAATAGTCTTAACACAGTAACCAGGTAACCCTCAGATACTGCTCTCTTGAGTAACCTGTAAATAGCTTCAAACTTAAAAATTGAATTCCCATCTAAGGCCTCAGCCTACTTCTCTTATTCCTGCTCCCATTACTGTTTATTCCATCCCAGTAGCCTGTTCCCCACAGATACTAAGTTCTACTTCAAGGGCTTTGTGCTTGCAATCCCTCTTCCTGGAACACTGGCCCTGCAGTTTTCGTTGCTTACTCACTAGGGTAGCTGCTCAAATATTCAGAGGCCTTTTCCATTTAAAATAGCACATCCCCAACACACATCTTTATTCTCTAGTCTCTTGCCTCACTTTATTCTTTTATTGTAGAGGGAGAGAAACGTTGATGTGAGAAACACCAATTGGTTGCCTCCCGCACACATCCCGACTAGCAATCAAATTCACAACCTGGCTGTGTGTCCTGACCAGGAACTGAACCTGCCACCTTTTGATGTACAAGATGCTTCAACCCAGCCACACTGGCCAAGGCCCATTTTATTTTTCTTCGTAGTACTTAATCACCACTGACATATCATTCATTGTCTTTCTCTAACAGGAATGTAAACTGACATTGGTAGTGCTTTAGTACATATTTGCTGGGTTAAACAATTTTTCTTTTCCTGAAGACTACTGACCCCAAAATGCATTTTTTACCCATGGTATGCACCTAACTCCCATATTTTCACTTAACCTGGGTTTTCTCATTAGGCCACCCACTTTGGGCTTTTAGAACTAAACATAAAGACTAGATTCTTATTTGCAAAATAAACAATAAGCAAGCACAACAAAAATGTTTGACCCTATTTTCAAACGGAAGTGTTTTACTGTGTATAAATTGAATTCTATACTTAGCCAGATTTTTTTAACATTCAGTTTTTAGTGTATCTATAAAGAGCTATGAAGATTTGAGATCAGATCATGAATAGGTAGTACTTTATGACTAAAGCATACGTAATCACAATTAAGTTTTTTCTTCTCTTTTGCAGATTAATGACGAGAGAGAGTACGATCAGATTTGTTCACAAGGAAATGGGCATAATACCCAGCTGGGGCGGAGCTACCCGACTGGCTGATATTATTGGCAGTAAACAAGCTCTCAAAGTGTTAAGTGGGGCTCTCAAACTGGATTCAAAACTAGCGTTAAGTCTAGGGATGGTGGATGAGGTCTTGCAGTCCTCAGATGAAGCCGAGAGTCTAAAAGAGGCCCAAGAATGGCTCAATCAGTTTATCCAAGGGCCGCCGGAAGTGATCAGAGCTCTGAAAAAAACCGTTTCTTCAGGCAAAGAGCTTTGTTTCGAGGAGGCATTACAGACCGAAAGAGATCTTGTTGGGACACTTTGGGGTGGACCGGCAAATTTGGAGGCTATTGCTAGGAAAGGAAAATTTTGTAAATAGTTGCTTTTAAATATGGTGTACTGCACCTCCAATTTAATGTGTGGAAAAGTTAAATATTGAATGTGCGTGGGTTTGTTTTTAATCATTTTTTGAATACCTAAACTCAGTGGCATGGCTTTCAGTATACTGTAATCCCCCCCTACCTGCAGGGAATAGATTCCTTGACCCCCAGCGGATGCCTGAAACTGGATATACTGAATCCTGTGATGCTTACATACCTATGATAAAGTTCAATTTATAAGTTAGGCACAGTAAGAGATTAACACAACTAGTAAACAATGATAATATTCTGTAATAAAAGTTACGTGAATGTAGTCTCTTTTTCAAAACATTTTATTGTACAATACTCACCTTTGCACTTAAGCAAAACACTTCATTGCCTCTTCGGCATATCCAAATTGCCAGTGTCACTATTTGGGGCCACTATTAAGTAAAATGAGGTTTTCTTGAACACCAGCACTGGGATCCTGTGAATCTGATAACTGAGATGGCTTCTAAGTGACCAACAGGCGGGTAGAGAACACAGTGCAGGTACGCTGGACAAAAGGATTCAAATTGGGCAGGAAGGATCAGGACAATCCGAGACTTCATCGCACCAAGAACAGCGTACAATTTAAAACTTACGGTTTATTTCTGGAATTTCCCACTTAATATTTTCAGACTGCAGTTAACTGGATAGCTGAAAACTCCACAGATGGGGGAGGAAACTACTATAGCTGGGTATTTACCAAGTAAACCTGCAACATTTGGCTAAAATACGTTATTATTGTACTTTTGGCTTAAAAATTACTACCAATTCCCCAGTTTCCTTAATGGTTCTTAGCCTATAACCAAAGGCCAATTTTAAAAAGAAAAACTATACAAAACCTATTGATGGTGTTATTTTTCGTAAGTCTTTATTCTGTCTTACCTGGAAATAATTTTAATTCATTTGTGTGCCTTGGAATTTACTGTTTGTCATAAAATCTAACTTTAGATAAAAACTGCCTAAGACTTCAAAGAACTCAGAAACATTCTGTAATCTACATTTGCGTTTTCATCAGATTTCTGTTTTTTCTTTTTTCTGGAAAAGTAGCTAGCCTTTCTTCTTTTATAATTAAATTTAATAGAACTAAATTTAGTTATAAAAGTCATGATTATCTAACACTTTTAAAAACATTAAATCAAAATAGTCCCAATTCTAACATTATAAGAGCAAAAAGGTAATTTCAAAGTATTGACAGTTTTTACTTGCTATTTGTAAAATTCAATTCACATTTTAAAATAACATATATGCTTCGTCAACATGATCCTACTGTGTTGAGCTAGGAGAATGTAGGAAGGTAAACTTACATTACTTTTTTGCAGAACCAAACTGGATTACCAAGTGAACCCAGTATTTCCTACCTTGCCACAGGTTCTACATCATTTAGTGGAAAGGTAGTTTGGGTCTACTAATAGTAGTAAGCCTACCATTTAATTTAGATGAGTATTAAACAACTAATGAAGACTGGCAAGAAAAATCTAAAATACTTCTGGTCTCTACTGCCAGTTATTAAAGAAATTTGTCTCACAGGCTTTAGGTCTATTTCCATATGTATTTATTCCATGAACATTCCTTGCAAATTCTGTTTAAATACTCTCCATGAGAAAAAAAAAATCAGACTTCTCTGAGCAGGTTACACTAACTGAAACCACCATGTTTTTAGAGACCTTTGGTCAAAAATGCCAATGTTTCCATCCTCTTCCCAGACTCAAGCAAAAGACAAATGATTTTTTGATAAAGTCTAGTATTTATTAAATTAAAAATTTTGTAACGAAAAAACGATCAAGAGAAACTTCAAACTACAAGGACTAGACAGCAAAGTCTATGGGAACGCCATGAATATGTTACAGACAAGATTATGAAACATAAATTATTAGATGTTTTCTTTACATTTCCATTTCAGTAACTTTACTATTAAATAGTTTTTGTCTATTTTAAAACCCCAAATTCACATGTATTCTCACGTTAATTAAGCTTCCTGTTAAAACTGATACCAGACATCTCATAGGTGCCAAATTTTAGTAATGGCTTTATGTAAATCCATGCAGGAAAGTAAGACAAAATGCAAAAGTCAGATGGGACCATTAATGCATAGATAATACATACACGCTGGCCAAAAGAAATGAATTTTTTAAAACTATAAAATAAACAGACTTCAAGAAAACTGGGTTATTACTAAACAGCTCTCAACTATTAACACCCAAGTTCCTTAAATAAATTTCTCAACAGAGACATGTTAGACTGGACATTTTAATTATAGGTCTATCCTTCCTATACCCCTTCCCACCCCAACTCCCAAAATGTACTACTAGGGATGAGTATAATGTTATGTGGGCAGAAATTTACAGATAACCATTTTAACCTTGAGCATGGAGCTGAAGACTTTTATTTAAACCTCAGTTACTGTGCACTGTCCATCAGGCCTTCTAGATCTAACACTGGCACTCACTGTTCCACCCCCTGCTAGTGATCCATCAGTTATTGATCGATCTGATCGATCAGATACTGTCTGGTTTGCATTAGGAACCAAAAGTCTCTGTTGGGTCAAGGAGTGTTGTGCAACAAGCGCTGACACATCCTCACTATCACTACTGGCATCTGATTCAGTCTCTTCAATGGAGGTGTCTGGTGCCCGTACCCTGCCTGAGGATGGTAATTCACGATCTTCTTCTCCTTCCCCCCTATGACTCCTTTCAGCCAGGCTGTCTCCACTGAGTTGTAAATGAGCAAAAGAGTCTTCCAGAGAAGTGCTTGCATCTGGGGATGGTGTCACAGGGCTCGTTAACTGACCATCTACTGACGTCAGGGGCCTCACAGACGAAGACGCTAGCGGCTGAACAGAAGCTCCGCTCTGTGCCGAGACACTGTCCGCTCCATCGGCAGAGCTCTCTCTTGCTAGGTTTACGGTGTTGGCCTCACAGTCCAGCCTAAGTCCGGCTACTCCCTTCTTTGGTATATCTATTATGTCCCGCTTCATCTTCCTGCGACGTCCATGTTCATTTCGCCTATACTGAACCATATTTTCAAGATCAGCAACATACAGAAACCCGGCAATTAACATTTCAGTGCTCTTTTTACCTTTGGAAAAAGCATCTTCCAGCTCCCTACTCGTGCGTTCATCATACTGCCACCACCCATTTCTTCCTTCATAATACCATGCGTATTCACCATTTCCTCTACTTGCTGCCTTGAGTTCTTCTGGTGACAATAAGGTTGGCTTGTCAAGGAAATCCTCAGGAATTTCTTGTCGACAGAGGGCACATCGCTTTCCAAGCCATGAAGCTCCCTTTACACACAGATAGCAGAAAACATGCTTACAAGGCAGACTGACTGGGTGAACACATGTTTGCAGACAAATGGCACATTCAGGGACAGTTAGAGAAGGTGCAGTATTAGCACAGGACTCATTCGCTTTCCTGTTGGTAGGAAGCATGTTTACTGAGTGATCAATTTCACCACAGCCAGCCATCCTAAGAAGATGAAAGAAAATACATATATTAAAACCATGTTTAAACTCTGAAATCAACAATTCAGAAAAAATTATTAAACACCTATTATATGCAAGCCACATACTAGACAATGAATGGGGAATCAAAAGTTAAAATACAGGGAAAAACTCTAAACTTGTATAGAAAAACCTTTTTTGATTGTATGTCACTGATTTTTGTGCACGAGGGGGAGGGGGGCAATAAGGCATACAAATGTTAAGCCATAAGTAAAAAAATACAAGTAAGGTATAGATTGGTTTTAAATGAATATACCATTTCTATTTAGTCACAGACCCTGTAAGACAGAACTACGAGCAAAGATTTTACAATGCACAGTCCACTCTACACTGACTTTTTTTCCCAATTCTTTAAAAATAAATATTTATTCATATTATTATAAAATTCCTCATTTTCCCCCCCTCCACCAGGTTCCCACCCCACCCTCTGTCCTTTCCCCACCCCCCATTGTCCTCATCCATAGGTGCACAGTTTATGTTCAGTCTCTTCCCGCACCCCCCACTCCTCAGTCTGGAAAGGAGGTAGAGAAAAATCCCTGTAATTCAGATGACGATTGCAGAAAATGATGGTTTTGTAACCTTTTAGTTACTGTCAATTTTGCAAATACTACCACATGACAATATGCTTTTGGTACTTGCCAAGTATACCATATGAAATTAAGACTAAAGCTGCAATCCCAGAAGTTCCTTACCGCTGCTGTGAATCTGAAAACACTGGTTAAACTGCATTCCCTCTCTGTAAAACAACTCTTTTAAGGAGCTTTTGTTGTGACCTTTTTCTAAGCTATGTGCTCTTCTTGCAGCACTCTTTCAAGATGACCTCATCTATTCTGAGGGCTTCAACTGTTACCTACATACAAATGATTCACAACTGACATCACCAGCCCAGATCTCTCTTTTCAGCCCTAGCCCAATCACCTATATTTTAGATCTCTTCCAGGATGCCTTGAAGGCACAAAAACTAAACTCAAGAATCTGTTTCCTTCTTATTTACTTCTTAAAAGCCCCTCCTCCCCCCAGCCCGTGACACCCCTAACCATCTGCTTTTTCAAGCTAGAAATCCATAACTGTAACTGCTCTTCTCCCACCCAAAACATCAGCAAGTCTTATCAATTTCATCTCCTAAATATTTCCTGAATCATCTACTGTCCATCTCTACACTTCCCTAGCCACCAAGTACACTGTTTAATTATTGTGTATGCCTTTTAATTTGTTCAAACATATCCCTTGTTGATTTTACGATAAAGACCAGGATCTATATGCCCTGTATGGTCTGGCCCCCACCTCATCTTACATGTAACTTCCCCTGGGTCAGCCTCTAGCCAATCTGAAGTAGAGAAACAGAAAATGGCTGAAAGTAATTCAGAGGGCAAGTAGTTCAGATGATTTTTTAACCTAGACATAGTCTAATTCCTTGACAGCTGGCACCTAGACTATCTGAGCTACAGGATTAAAAAAATATAGGCAGATAACATATGAATAGAATTAAACAAAATATATATTTACCTTAATTGTGAAGAAAAATGCTTACTGGTTTCATTCATATATATATATATAAATATATATATGTGAATTCACACATATACATACACACATTTTTATTTTTATTGATTTTAGAGAAGAATAGAGTGGGAGAGAGAGAAACATCAGTTATGACAGAGAATCACTAATCGGCTGCCTCCTGCATGCCCCCAACTGGGGATCAAGCCACAACCTGGGCATATGTCCTTGACTGGAATCGAACCCAAAACCCTTCAGTCTGCAGGCCGATGCCTCTATCCATTGAGCCAACCCAGCTAGGGCTGGTTTCATTTTTTATGAAATTCTTCAACACTAAGAATCACATGGTCACACTTTTAATGAGTGTACATAATCAAAGCATCATATTGGAAAAGACTAAATGATAGAAAATAACTAAAACTGGACGTTACAGTGAATTCTCTCTGAATTAAGATGCAATAATGGACAATAATTATTTAAATTAAATTAGTTAAAAATTCAGTGCAGCTGAAACCGGTTTGGCTCAGTGGTAAGAGCGTCGGTCTGCAGACTGAAGGGTCCCGTATTCGATTCCAGTCAGGGGCATGTACGTTGGTTGTGGACACATCCCCGGTGGGGGGTGTGCAGGAGGTGGCTGGTCGATGTTTCTCTCTCATCGACGTTTCTGTCTCTGTCTGTCTGTCTGTCTGTCTGTCTCTCTCTCTCTCTCTCTCTCTCCCTTCCTCTCTGTAAAAAAATCAATAAAATATATTAAAAAAAAAAATTCAGTTCCGTGAAACAAGTTTTTAGTAACTAGTATTTTATAACCCAGTAAGTCCCTTGTAATTATAAAAGCTGATACTGTCTACCTAACTTGATTATTTAAATAAATAATTTTTAAAAATATATTTTATTGATTTTTTACAGAGAGGAGGAGAGAGGGATAGAGAGCTAGAAACGTCAATGAGAAACATTGACCAGGTGCCTCTTGCACACCCCCTACCAGGGATGTACCCACAACCAATGTACATGCCCTTGACCGGAATCGAATACGGGACCTTTCAGTCCGCAGACCGACGCTCTACCACTGAGCCAAACCGGTTTCGGCTATTTAAATAAATAAGTTGATATGTAAAGAGAAAGTAGAATCTAGAAGAAACTGTATTTTTAGCCTTCTAAGAGCAAATTCTGTCTTCAGTTCCACTTTTTTAGGAAGACTTTTCTCTATATTTTGGGAAATTTACATTAGCAATAATTCAATGTAAATAAAATTGCTAACCCAATAAAACATCTAAAAAAATAAATACAAAATGTTCCTATAATATTAACTGGAAATGATATTTGATTTATTGCATTTTATGCCAGTACACTTAATTTACATGTAGAGAGGATGGAAAAATGATGATGCCATACTTACATTTCTATTACAGATCTCACAGATGCTTGTCACAAAAATAAAACATCATTTTCACACCCATTAGCCAGTCTGTAGTATTTTCTCTTCAAGGCTGGTCCATCCTGTGCTGAAAAAAAAAAAATTTTTTTTAAACATCAAGTTCTCTACAGACTAATTAAGATCAGCAAATTTATTAAATTTTGCATGATCCTTTCACTTAACATTCAGTGGCAAATTTTATCTTATAAGTGAAAAAATTTCAAGACAATGATGCCTGCTTTAGCACTGCTATTCAACATTATACTAGAATTGAAAAGACAATAAAAGGCATACAAATTGCTAAAGTTGATCTAACTTATTTGCAGAGATAGTAAAACTGTTTCTATTCTCTATATTAATCTTAAAGAATCCACAAGGAAGCTACTAGAGCTAATAACAAATTCAGCAGCAGGTTGCAAGTTCAGGGCACAAAAAAAGCCAGTTTTGTTTCTAGACCTAGCAGTCAACAATCCAAAAAGGAATTCAAGAAAGCAATTCTATTTACAGTAATATCCAAGAGAATAAAAAATTGAGGAATCCACCAAGGAGATGAAAGACTTGTACAATGAAAACTAGAAAACACTACTGGGAGAAATTAAAAAGCTAAGTAAATGGACAGACAACCTGTGTTCATGAATTGGAAGACCACGAAGATGACAATACTACACAAAATGATGTACAGATTCAACATAAATCTTATAAAAATTCCAACAACCTTTTTTCCAGAAATGGAAAAGGCACTCTTCAAATTCATATGGAATTATGAGGGGACCTAATAACCAAGACAATCTTGAAAAAGAACAAAACTGGAGAACTCACATTTCAAGATTTCAAAATTTACTACAAAGCTACAGTAACCAAAACTTACTACAAAGCTACAATAATCAAGACAATGTGGCACTGGCCTAACAATAGACAAATGATGCTATAGGAGAGTCCAGAAATAAACCCATATATCTATGGCCAACTGATTTTCAAAAAGGGTGCCAAATCCATTCAATGGGGAAAAAATAGTCTCTTCAACAACTGAATTTCCACATGCAAAAAAAAAAAATCAGACCCCCCCCACTTCACCCCATATACAAAAATAACTCAAAATGGATTAATAACACTAATGTAAGAGGTAAAACCACACAACTATTAGGAGAAAACATAGGAATAAATATCCATAATCTTGGATTTGTCAAAGGATTCCTAGATGTGACACCAAAAGCATGAATAACAAAATTAAAAATAGATAAACTGGACTTCATCAGAATTAAAACTTTGGGGCATCAAAAGACATTGTCAAACAAGTAAAATGACAATCTAGATTCTAGAGAATGGGAGAGAATTTTTATCAATCACCTCTCTAAAAAGAGCTTAATCTCCAGAATATAAAAAGGAACTTCTACAACTTAACAACAAAAAGACACCCCCAAAATTTTTTTTTAAATGAGCAAAAGACAGGCTCTTTTCAAAGATTTATAAGTGACCAATAAGTACAGGTAAAGGTGCTCAATATTATTAGTCATTAGAAATATAAATGAAAATCATAATTACATGCCATTCCACATCTATTTGGATGACTACAATTTAAACAACAAACAAACAAACAAACATACATGTAACAAGCATTGGTGAGAATGGAGAAACTGGAAGCCTCGTACACTGTTGACGGGAATGAAAAATAGTACATCCACTGTGGTCAAGTTTGGTGGTTCCTCGAAAAAGTTAAACATAAGATTGCCATGTAATTCCACTCCTAGGTACAATATATGTCCAAAGGAACTAAAAATGGACTCACATACTTGTACATCAATGTTCAAGTGAACTATTCACAAAAGTAAACAAACAAAAAAAACCACCAAAACACAAAACAGTGGGCACAAGTGCCCAGTAACAGAAGAACAGATAAATAATATGGCATATAAGTACAATGGAATTTTAGCCATAAAAAGAAATGAAGTTCTGACACATGCTACAACATTGATGAACCTTAAAAACATTATGCTAAGTGAAATAGGCCAGACACAAAAGGACAAATGTATAATCCTACTTATATGAAAAATTAAAAACAGGCAAATTCAGAGACAGAAAGTAGATTGGCGATTACCAGGAGCCAAAAAGGGTAGAGTTTCTGTTTAAGGTGATGAAAATGTATTCTATAGCCACTGCCTTCTTCAAGGAAGTAGTATATGCAAAAACAAGCTCATCACAGTAAGACCTCCTGCTATTTACATGAATGCCCAAGTTTAGAACTATTAAGCCAACCTTCTCAAGGTGCCTCTTGTCCAGAGAATCCAGACTCACTAACCAAACATCACCTCAGTCATTAATTCCCTTTCTTCACATTTAATATTTCCTCCTTCCACTTCACCAAGCATCATATGACAGAGAACTTAGAATTAAGCACACATGATGAGTGAAGAGTTGATGTGTCTCACAGTAACCATAAGCTAAGAGAAACTTCAATCTCTTTTTACTTTCATGTGCCTCTATCATAGTGTGGGAATATATCTCACTTTAAAATCTGGTATTTTAGCATTTGAAAGAAAAATGTTTTAAACATGATATATGTCCTTAAAATACAACTTAGCTTATCCCACCAACTTAACAAAACAAATAATGTTTCAAAACTAGAGAATTTTCTAAAGTAACTGACTAAAAGGGTTTTTAAATAATGTTTTACTTTGACTTTAGAACTTAGTCTTTACATGGTATGACTACAGTCCTGATTCTCCCTCGACCCCATCCTTTTTCTTTACCATCTACAACTTCAAGCTGCCTACACTTCAAGGGCACCACAGAGACTCCGTTCACTTTCCTCCTGCAGCCTACTCAACAGAGAAACTGCCCACCATCACACACAAGACAGGAGGAAACATTCTATCTGCTATTCCAACAGCATTACTCACTATTGGTTCTTCTCTTCATGCTCAACTCCTGACACATCACTGAGTCTATTTAAATATCCCTGAGAATGAATCATCCAACACCTAACTCAGAGGTTTTTAAATTTGCCCCACTGAGGCTGCTTGTTAAAAATATGCATTCTTTGGCCCTAACCCTTGAGATTCTAGGCCAATAGATATAGATGAAACCCAGGAATCTCACTTCAAGTGATACTGATGCAAGTAATGCTTCAAACACATATGAGAAAGTGTCCTCAGTTTTCAATTCCTGAAATCCTGAATTCAAAGGACTTCACACCCTTCCTCCAGAAATAAAATATCATGGCCACATGTGGAATCAGATGCCCCCTAAAACTGCTTGCTGCCTCTCTAAAATCTTAATCTCATTCTGACCACAAGCGCTGTTCCTTCTGGCTCACTTACTCATTCCCACACCTGCTCATTAATTTCACAGGAATTTCCAGTCTCTTGACCATCACCTTTCCTTTATCTAATTCCTGTTCTCATTTTCTTTCTTGCTGAATCTGGAGCTCAAGCATTTTAACTTAACAGTACCCTTGGTTCCCTCATATCTGTATCCCATCTATACACAGGCCACAAACTCCTTAAAAGCCGAAATGGACCTCCCATATGTGAAGTTCTATACCGACTCTCCAACCTATACAATAAAAGCTCCTTAAGACAACATTCACAGGCCTTACTGACCTGAAACCTATTCAGATCTCTAATATTACCCATCTCTAGTATTTCCCACAGCCACTCTAACAGACTAATACTCTAGTTATACAACATGACTCACAGTTCTCCAACTTTCCTTTTGTAATTCTGCATTTCCTCCTGTATGGCATAGTCTATCTGTTTTACAACTTATTAAGGCTACTGTCACTTCCTCTATCTCCAAAAAATTGTTCATTCACCCATATTTTGTACAGTTTCCTTCTATTAAACTATGAACCCCCTGAGGTTTGGGACTGTTTTTATATTTATAAGTGGCTAGTACAATGCCAATCAATTTTGTTGTCTTAAATTGATATTTCTTGGATTAATGAAAAGCTATTTTTTTTAAATAACTGTTAAGAGAAATGAAATATCAAAAAACTAAACTTATTTGCTTACATATAACAACATTTGAGTCTAACTGAGCAAGGCACTCAGCCACAAAAATATATAAAGATATCTAAGTTCTAATCCTTTCTTTAAAGAGCTTAACGTCTAAGAGCAGTAATTACTACATTTACAAATATAACATTCAACCCAGATTTACCTAGTATTCACTGACAATGAATTCTCCAGAATGTAAATAAAAATCCATGAATAAAACCAATTTTAGTAAATTTTGCAAGCTACAGCAACTTTTCCAATTTTTATATCCTAGGGATAATTTTCACAGTAGACTCTAAATGGATAGTAACAATTGGGGGAAGGAAAATGAATAAAAATCCATATAGTAAACTAGATATTAGCTATGCAAACTGTAATCCCCAACCAGTATCAGTATTACGTGGGTACCTTACAAATGAAACGTCTGGATCCAGGTGATTCATAAGCATATTAAAGTTTGGAAGCATTATTAAACCTACATCACTGAATGCTCAAAATAACCCTGGGAGATATGACTATTCCCAATTAGAAATGATGAAACCTAATTTCACAAGGATTTGATTCAAAATCAATATGGGGTAATGGGATTCAAGTTAAGTATCTTTAAAAAAAAAAAAATTTTCCCCTTCAATGTACTGGATCTCACAGAAAATGTCTAAAAATTCAAATTTTCTATTAGCCATATTAACAATAAAGACAGTAAAATTAATTTAAAGATATATTTTATTTAACCTAATATATCCAAAACATCATTTCCACATATATTCAGTATAAAGAAATTATTAATGTGGAATTTACATTCTTGTGTATGTGTGTGTGTTTGTACACACTTTCAAATCCAGTGTTTTTTACACTTACATAGCACAACTCCCTTCAGACTAGCTACATATCAAGTGCTCAAGAGCTCCATGTGGCTAGTGGTACCATACTGGACAGTTCTGGTTTAGAATGTTTTGTATGTTAACAATTATTCTTTAACACAAAACTGGCTATTTACTACAAGACTCTAAATACAGAAAATGAACCCATGTTACTTTGTGCACATCCTTGCTGGCACAGATAAAAAGAAATTGTACACATTCTATTGAGATCAAAATTGAGAGGTTTAGGTGGTCCCAATTCTGCCAAACTGACCCATTAACTCTAACCTCTGCAAATGGGTACAAAGTAGGGAATGGAATGTTAGCATTCAGAAGGACATGTGAAATAGCCCTCGGGAATCATCTACATTTGAAATCAAAGATGTTTTTCTTAAATGGGGTGGGATGGGATGGGGGGGAAGGAGTTCAACCAAAAATCCAAAAAAAGTATAGTGTAATTCTAACTATAGGTCAGAAATAATTTGGCAAACATAAGTAATTCAAACATACATACTAGTAAGTCTTGCTTCAATGAACGATTTGTAAATTATACACCAAACTCAATACAATTTGTGAATGACTATAGTAAATTTTACACAAAATCTTAACATGCAAATATAAATTAGTTAATATGCTAATATTCCTTCTCTAGAAAGATAGCATAAAAAGAAAAGATTTATAACGAAATTAATATATTCCCCTCAATAATTCTGGAGGGGGAAGTGAGAAACTATATTAAAAAATATATGAAGGAATTTAGAGATCATCAGTGACTTGACATAATTCACTCAACTAACAACTGAAAAATGAAGTAATATTATATTATTTATATCTTATGGCCACTCAACAAATTCACACTCCTATTATTTGCACATACTGTTATTTTTTTCTGAAAATATTTAGTATTAATTATAATTCCACTTTTCAAGTCAGTCATACGGTGAAAAAAAAAAAATCTCAAGTTTATTTTTCAGATAGTAGATTCAAATGAGTATCTTTTTAAAGAACCAAATAAAAAGATAAATATATACAAGAGTTAAAATATCAAATTATAGAGATTTGAAGAACTCTTGTATTTTCTAATTAAACATTTTCTAATGTTTAATAGTTTTTACTGTTTATTCAAAATACATAAAAGAGGAAAATATTTTATATAAAACCTATCAATGACAGAAAGTAAAAATATACTTCAAACCTTCCAATTTTAGTTATACAAACAAACAAAAAGAAGCAAGGACCAGTACAAGGAGGACTAAAGATAGATTGTAATTTAGCATATCTACATCTTTGGATTTCTTAAGAGTCCCAAACTGAGATGTAACTAAATGCCCTAATGTTTCCAATTTTAGCTTTCCCTCTCACCCCTTGTTAAACTCAACTTACAGAAAGCACAGGTAAATACCAGGAAACTTAAAAACTCATTTAAACTACATGGGGTCCAATACTTTATTTTAAATAATCATTTTCCTTATTGTATAGAACTTCCTTTAAAAGCATTACTGGATGGCTACCTATAGCCTTCACAATCTTCATACTCAAGCACTAAACCTTTACATTTTCACCCCCAAAATTCAGCTGGCTCTGCATTTTAACAAAACATGAAATGTAAATGTGAACAAATATTGCCTTTTAATCGAATCAAACAGGAATTTCATAGCCTACAATTACTTTGTAAATAAGAAAAGCTCTGCTGCTAATTATATGTGCGACCTTGGTTATGTCATAACTCCCATGTCTTAGTTATTTCACCCTATTCTCTTCTGTAATTCTAAATTCTAGGTACTTTAATTAATATTCACTTAACAGCAGGTCTTGTTTTAATTAACCCAAAAGGTAATAAGCCATGAACACTAAATAGTCCATAAATAAGCACATGTGGTTGCAGCAGAATGTTAACAAGATGGTTTTCATACCCACAAAGACTGCTCTTAATTCAGCCTGTTGTTTCACAAATTCAGGTTCCTTAGCCACAATCAGAAGCCAGGCAAGAGAATGGAAAAGGTTGAGCACCTCCTCTTACTACACTGGAAATAGGCAAGCACCCAAACACCCACTGACAGCATGTCAGATGTTTCATGCTAGTACATGGCTAATACATAATATTACCTAAACAGGTCAATACCGTGAAAAGCAAAGATTTAATACCATCATTTTTTCCTAACGAGCTAGGAAATCATTTTTAATCATTAAAAAATACCTGCGCCATCCTTCTGACAATTCAAGTTGGTGGACACTGACAAATTATTTTATCAGTTGAAACACATCTCCATTTCTTTATTTCCTCTCGTCAAATGACCAGCTCTTTAGGAATATAATTTTCCTGATGATTACAATACTACCAAGATTTTTAACAATCAAGTAAGCAACAAAACCTGCAACGGTTTACCATTATTTTCATTCAGGCCACAGCTTAGTAGCCCATTTGAAACAAATTCTAAATCAAATATTGGGCTTAACAAAATGCTCCCATCCAAAACCTAAAACACACACATCCAAAACCTATTTCTAGCGTGACTTTCACTCTTTCTCTTTCAGATGAGATTTACTTGACCTATTTTCATGTGTTTTTAGAACACCCTGGCCCTTGTTACAAACAGTATTCTCTGGTCATAAAAAAAACATCAAAATCTGTATCGTGAACCCTATCTGTGTGGGTCATTTTCTTCCTGAGTTCTATATACCACGCCCCCCCCCCCCAAATAAAAAAATAAAAAAATGGAAAAATTTTTTTTAAATATGGATTCATCTTAAGCCTTCCAAATTCTATCATGATATTCTACTTTTCCATGCCAATGTATACTTTCCCGTCCTATTTACAAAAAAGTAAACACACTGGAATTGGGGGGGGGGGGGCGACTGACATGTCCATCATACGAAGACACACAGTTTTCTGACATTTCTTGGCTTCCTTCTCCCCCCAACTCCGGTGTCAATATTACAAAAGCATTATGTAAACAACATGCACGGGCTTCTGAAACCTTGATCAATAATGCTCACTAACATGCCAGTTAGGGAAAAATAAATTAAAAACATATATATATATATATATATATATATATATATATATATATATATACCAACAACACACAAACGGATACCGATGGGAGGGAAGAAGATGGAGTTGCCAGAATATGTGTGTCAACTCAAAGCCTGTGTGCCTGCAGACACCTATGGGACATGAAGGAGCGACCACAATGAGAGACCCGCACCCTTTCGGACGGGACGGGGACGGGGACGGGGGTGTAGGAAAGGAACTCCGCACCCAGCAGCCAGAAGAACAAAGCGACAGCCTCCCTTTGAGGATGCACTGGGGGTTGGGGGAGGCTCCACCGGTCACTGAGCTCCCCTCCAGCTCCGATGCTTTCAGCACCATCCAAACGGCCTGGACTGTGCAGCGCTGGGTTTCAGTGGGGTAAGGCGGGGGGACTGCGCTCCGCGGAGGCCAGACCCAGACCCTGAGCGGGAGGGGAGGGGAGGGGAGGCACAGAAGGGAGAGGAAGCAGCAGCAGCAGCAGCCAAAGAGACTCCGGAAAAAGGACACAAAATGCAGGGACTGGACAGCCCGGCTGCGACCTAACGCAAGGCCAGGGCCGAGGCCTCCCCACGGGACACCGGGAGCAGGACACCCCCCACGCCATCCCGCCCCTCGGTCCCGAGGCCAGACGGACCCCGGGTCGGGGCCCGCCACCCCCGCCGAGGGGAGGAGGAGGAGGAGGAGGAGAGGTGAGGGACCTGGCGGCCACCGCAGGCGGCGACGAGGACCCCGGCGGAAGAGGCTGCGCAGTAATGGCCGCTGCTCCGCCTCTCGCGCCCGGACCGCGACCGGCTGGCGGGGCCTGTCGCCGGGCCGGGGGCTGTGGCGATGGCCGGGCCACGCAGCGCCCGTCACAGTCTTCTCCGCCTGCGACAGCAGCCGCGGCGGACAGGGCGGCCCGGGGCGGATCGGCCCCGGCGCACCCCGCCTCCCGGCGGACAGGGCGGCCGCGCCGGCCCAAGGGCGTCCCCCGCGCCGGCCGCCCGGCCCCTGACCCCGCCGCCGCCGGCTCTCCCTCCTCCCTCCCGCCCAGGCCCGCAGCGCAGGGCCGCCCCGAGCGCGTCCGGCCGGAGGGGCCCCCGCGGCCCGTCCCTCCGCTCCCAGGCCGGGAACCCGGAGCGGCTGACTCCCTTCCTGCCCCCCCGGCCCTCCCTCCGTGAGGACTGAGCCCGACGCCCACCTCTGCGGCCACGGCCGCGGCCACCTCGCAGTCTTTTCTCCTCGGCCGGAGCCCGCAGCGGCCGGGAACGCGCGCGCGCGCGGCAGTCACGTGACCGCGCGTCGCGTCGCGGGGGGCGGGGCTTGCGCGCCGGAAGCGGCGCCGCGCGCACCCGGGAGCCCGCGCGCGCCCACCCCTCCCCTCCCGTCCGCAGTTCTCGGGTCCCTTACAGCGCGCGGCGGGGCTGCCCGGCTTGTCCTGCCTCGGCGGGTCTCTGCGGCTTCCCTTCCCCCGGGCCCTCTCGCCGCTTCTTATGTTGCTGCTTTCGCTTGCAATTGGGTGCAGAAAGCTCGGAGAGCGAGCGGGTCCCGCCGAGGGAGCTTTGGGGCCGCGGAAATAGGACGCGCACAGGACCAGCAGGTGGCGCTGCTCGGAAACCCTGCTTCCAGGCCCAGGAGGAGCCCTGCGGCTGTGGGGGAAAGAGCCATTGCCAAAAACACTGCTGCTTGTCCGTTCAAAAAAAAAAAAAAATTTTTTTTTTTTTAAAAAGGTTTTCTAGGTCCGTCCCAATTTATTCATTTTCGGAAAGGTCGAGCAATTTAATAGAGGGGGAATTGGATCTTTCTTTTTGGACCCATTTTTCTTAGACTAGGGCAGGGGAAGCTGGAGGAAGAGACTAATGAGCACAAGACTCTAAAACTAAGCAAATGGCTTATTTTGTTGCGTGCTTGTGATTTTTAAACAACATCTTGGCAATAGCCTCCAGTTCATTTTAGCCATATGCTTTTATCTTTTGTGGAACTGATGGTACTGTCTTACTTAATATGTAGTAAAATGAAGAGGGTGGAAGAGCATGCTTTTTGTCTTTTAAAAGACAAACATTCCATGCCATTATCTTATTGCTTGCAGTGATGTTGCACGTGAGATCTCATTAACTTTTTACTCAAGGTTATAAATTCTATTCCTCGGAAATTAATGTATTCAAGGTTCTTATTTGTATATATTAATATGTAACCAATTCTTGAAGAGTAGTACCATTGTGCTTACTCATGTAAGTAAAAGCAATATTTTAATAACTTCTTTAAATGTAGTAATATTGAATTGTATGCTCTCCAGCTTTAACTTTAATCCCCTATCTTCATGCTCTCCTTAACCATCCAGTTTTATGCCCTTTGCCCTACATATCGCAGGAACACATAATAGCAAAAATTTGATTCCAGCTTGAAAAGGTACTACTATTAACTAACAATGTGCAAGACTTTATTCTAATCCCTTTACACATATCCTATATAGTAAAAGGCCAATATGCAAATCGACCGAACGGCAGAACAACCAGTTGCTATGATGCGCACTGACCACCAGGAGGCAGACGCTTAATACAGGAGCTGCCCCCTGGTGATCAGTTTGCTCCCACAGGAGGAGCAGTGCTCAGCCACAAGCTAGGCTCATGGCTAGTGAGCACAGCAGCAGTAGCAGGAGCCTCTTCTGCCTCTGTGGCAGCGCTAAAGGTGTCTAACTGACAGGGAGCGGGCCTAAGCCCTCAGTTGGACATCCCCTGAGGACTCCCGGACTGCGAGAGGGTGCAGGCCAGGCTGAGGGACCCCCCCTCCCCGTCTTGGAGTGCATGAAATTTCGTGCACCAGGCCTCTAGTTAGCTCATACTAAACTATGATGTAGGGACTATTGTTATTCCCATTTTACAGGCACAGCTACAATTTGAATCCAGACAGCAACTGTCAGTTCTTCATTTTGTGATTAAGAAATAGATATGTTAAATGACTTGCTTAAAGACTTTTTTGTTGAAGATAGAACTTGCTAGGTCTGATCAAATAATTGAATCGGCACTCCTCCCCACCCTTCTGTCCAGCAACTGACCTTTAGACCACTTCATAACTGACATTCCCTTTCTCTTACACCACATTCCACTTGCTAAGACCATTATCTTTTCCTTCAGGACCTGAGCCCAGAGAATTCTCTGTCCAGAAAAAGCCCTCCTAGAGTCCTTTACAATTTCTGACTCCCTGTCACTGGGTGCTGGCACAATTTTGGGGCTCAGCCCATCTGGTTTCCCAGATGACCTAATAGATTAATAATTCTTTACCCTTTTTTGGCCTCGTGTGTTCCTCCTTCGATGACCCTAGCAGAATCAGAATCAGAACACAAGAATGTTTCCTGATTCATAAATACTTTTAACTTAGGAAATGCTATTAAAAGTTCTTCAATTCCTCTAGGCACACATTTCGAATAGAGTTTACAGTAGTAATACAAATAAATAATACAACAATTATATAAAAAGCAATCCAAGAATAAGCATATTTCACATACACATAATTGTAAACCTACTTTTGCCCATTCCTGTATTATAACTTATGTTCTATTTCCCTATCCACCTGCAAGCAAGGAATTAATTAATCAGCAGGAATCCCAATAAACCACCCAACCAGGTTTCCAATCCTCTCTCAGCCACAACCATAATCTCAGCATTTCAACGAATTAGCTCCATCTTTCCTCTCTTTTATGTCCCATACCCATTTTTCACATAATCAAAATATGCCCCAATCCAGCTGCTTACCACCCCTGCTACCACCTACAGCCTCTCCTTTGGATTATTGCCTTAGCCCAGGGACAGATTTTCTTGCTTCGGTCCCTGCTTTTTTTTGAGTCTATTCCCAACACGGAGAGCAAAGTAAACTTATTAAAAAGGAAGGCAGATCCTACCACCCCTCTGTTCAAAGGCTCCCACGGTTTCCTCAAACAAAGGAAAAACCAAGCCCCGAATGACTCTCAGACTCCCCTCCTTACCCCTCTGACCCCGCAAACTGTACACTCAGCTTAGTGTCCAAGCAGACTCTACACAAACTTTCACCCACAGTCTGCAGTGTTGCTTTTTTCTCGGCTTAAAACCCTCTTTCCCATAATGGCTTCCTCTCTCTTTGCTGTGCTCAACAGCCTTTTTTTTTTTTTTTTTTTTTTTTTCCAGTCAGTCTTCTGCTTGCCACTCTATTTTAAATCATATTTCCCATTACCAATTTTTCTTATTCCCTTGCTTTACTTTTTCTCGAAAAGAGTGATGGGTTTCTATCTGTGAATATTATGAGACAGCACTCTCAACATTATCAGAAAATTTTCAAAATAAATTTATTTCCAACAGTTGTTAAAATGCCCAAACTTTCAAATGATTCACTTAAAGAAATAGATCAATCCTAACAGATTCAAGGTACCTCTGTCATAATGTTACTGTCACTGACATTTTATTTTGATTCATTGAATCAAAGATAAAGGAGTTGCAACAAACTGCTAGGAATTGCTCATTATTCATAAACAATTTCCCACAAACATATAAAGTGCTTTCTTGAATACCACACATATCCTCCAGGCACCCTGTAGACCAGGGGTCTTCAAACTACGGCCCGCGGGCCACATGCGGCCCGCAGAGGAATCTGATCCGGCCCGCCAGGTTTTTTGGGCAGTGAGCGCAGCCGAGGTGTTACAGTAGGAATTAGTAGTTCATATAGTCCGGCCCTCCAGCTCTCTGAGGGACCGTGATCTGGCCCCCACTTTAAAAAGTTTGAGGACGCCTGCTGTAGACAGACCCCTTACTACCTCTCAACGCTCCAAAATGTTTGTTGTTATTTGTTCTGCTTAATTATTAGGGGCAGAAATAGAATATTGGGAATCAATTACAATTATGAGAAATATTAATTGTGTTTATTTTCTGTTCACCATGATGGTTCTGTTCTGATTAGAAAAAGCACATTCTAACCTGGCCGGGAGTTGTATACCCTGGGACATGGGAGCAGGAATGCAGTCCATCCTCCTTTTCTGAGAACTGCCTATCAGCATGGAACGATTTACAGCTTCGTGGCTGAAACAATCTAGTCCTGGAGGCACCTGCTCTTTACAACCTCCAGCCCTAGAGCCCGTAATCTGGTCCCAGGGACGCCTGGAGGCATCCCACTCTGCACCCCAGCCCCCAGCCCATTACTTGTAACCTGTAATGATTATACCATGCCCATGCCTGTAATTTCTACTTTCCCACTTGATCTTTGTCCTTCTACCCAATATACGTGGCTGGCTTATGGGGAGAGGCAGAGCAGGTTTTTGTGGGTGACCTGCTGCTCTCCCATATGCTGCAGTATTGGAATAAATGCTCATATAGGATTCAACCCTGTCTCTGCTTAATTGGCTCAAGTAGTGACAGCAGCCCGGACCTCAGGTTATATAATGATCAAAATATTCTTTTTGTTTCCCTAATAGCTAAGGAAAACATGCATAAGAAAATTATATGTTCTGTAGTGTAAACTGTATTGAAAACCATTGGTGCAGCTAGTCTAGGGCAGAGGTTTTCAAATTGCTTTTTACTGTTCCCTGGGGTTCTTGAGATCCTGCCAAATGGACTCAGAGGTAAAAATTATCTCAAGCCTGGCCCACATAACTCAATGGTTGAGCGGCGACCTATGAACCCGGAGGTCATGGTTTGATTCCTGTGCCCGGTTTCAGGCTTGATCCCTGGGGTGGGGCCTGAAATGGATCAATGATTCTCTCTCATCATTGATGTTTCTATCTCTGTCTCCCTCTCCCTTTCTCTCTGAAATCCATAAAAACATATTTTAAAAAATCATTTCAATAATAATACTATGACTCTTGCTATTTTGTTCACTCACTCACTCACTCACTCACTCACGTCTTCTTTCTCCAGTGTACAGTCGAGTTTTTCAGGCTATGTGATGTATGATGTCACAACAGATTGAATATAGGTAAAGATATTAGAATTTGCCTCTATCACTTAAACCAGGCATTAAAGAGTTCTACAGCTGAAACTGGTTTGGCTTAGTGGATAGAGCGTTGGCCTGTGGACTGAAAGGTCCCAGGTTCGATTCCAGTCAAGGGCATGTACCTTGGTTGCTGGCACATCCTCTTTTGGTTGCAAGAGGCAGCTGATCGATGATTCTCTCTCATTGATGTTTCTAACTCTCTATCCCTCTCTCTTCCTCTCTGTAAAAAATCAATAAAATATATTTTAAAAAGAAAGAAAAGAGTTCTACAAAGCACAAAATAATGCAACCTTTCTCATCAAGTTAACTTTGTTTTGGAAAATATAGTTATTTTTCAGAAAATACTTGTTAACACTTAATGGGCTTCATATTTTTAAATGAATAAATATTTTA